GGAAGAAAGATATGGGAAGGAAGGAAGGAAGGAAGGAAGGAAGGAAGAAAAGTGGAAGAAAGATATGGGAAGGAAAGGAAGGAAGGAAAGAAAGGAAGGAAAGGAAGGAAGGAAGGAAGGAAGGAAGGGCAGGCATGCATGGCTGGCTGGGGAATTCTGGGAGTCCCCCCTCCCCCCTTTTACTGTCTCTCATTTGGGAGCATCCAGTCACTTGGGGTGGGGGGGCATAGCAAAGCCCCCCCCCCACCTCCACAGGGACGAAATTCCGGCTGGACCAGGCGCCTGCGCCCGAATACCCAGCCCAGAGCCTTGAACCGCTGCCCCCTCCCTCTCTCCCTCCCCCCCCTTCCCTCCCTCCCCCCGCACAAGTGGCCTTTCAGAATGGATGGCTTGTTTATTGACGGCCCCCGCCGTCCTCCCCCTGCCACCCCCCAGGACCCCAGTTGGCCTTCGGCGGGCAGCCGCCTTTTTGATCTTCAAAGGGAGGCTTTGCCGTGCCAAACGGGGCTGGGGGAGCATTGGGGGGGGGGGCCAAGTGCCAGGCAAGGCATTAATCTTTGACAGGGGGGAGTGAGGGGGGGTAGATTTAGTGTTTTAATTAATTTTAAGGTTTTTTTTCTCTCTCTCTCTCCCCCCCACCCCTTTTTTGGGGGGCCCAGTTTATGGATTGCTTCATGGTGGGCCGGGATCTGGTGCGCCTCCTCCAAAGCGTGGCCCGGATTCCGGAGTTTGAGCAGCTTTGGAAGGACATCATCCACAACCCCCAGGCCCTGAGTCCTCAGTTCACAGGTGGGGGAAGGCGCCTGGGCGGGAGGGGGGCCCTGGAGGTCATCTAGTCCAACCCCCCGCCCCTCTCACACACACACACACACACGGCCTCCCGCCCTAGCAGGGGGAGACCCTACGCCGTTTCTGGCGAAGGGCGGTCCAGTCTCTTTGTGAAAAGCCTCCGGGGAGAGGACGTTTTTAATGACGAGGTTGACTTGAGTCGGAAGGGACCCTGGGGGTCATCTAGTCCAACCCCGCCTCCCACCCTAGCGGGGAGATCTCCAACCCCCCCACCCCATTTCTGACAAAGCAGGTGGGCTCGCCCCCTCTTCCGAAGGTCAGTGACAAGAGAGGCCACTCGCTTAGGGACTGTTTCCAAGTTATGACGGAGCTCTTGATGACCCGGTTGTTCCCGGGGGGGGGTGGGGCGGGGTGTTAGTGGTGTCAAGCATCAGAAGGAACCTCCGAGGTCTTCTAGTCCACCCCCCCCCCCCCCGCCCTCCCCGGGGTCAAAGAGGAGACCCTCAACGAAGGGGGCGTCGCCTCTCGTGTTAAGATTGGCAGGTCCTTGTCCAACGTTCACCTCTCATTGTTGTCTTTTTTTTTTTTTTTTTAAACAACCCCCCCCACACACACACTCAACCCCCACCCCCCCACCGCCCACCCAGGGATGTTGCAGCTTCTGCAGTCAAGGACGTCCCGGAAATTTCTGGCTTGTCGTCTCACCCCGGATATGGAAACCAAGTTGCTTTTCATGACCTCCCGGGTAATTTAATTTTATCTGGTGTTTTTCTTTCATTTTCCCCCTGGGTTTATTGGCAGCGATTCGCTTCACAACCATGGGGGGGGGGGAAGCTTATAAAAATCTGTCTATCATCTCTCTCTCTCTCTCTCATCTATTTATATGTATCATCTGTCTATCTATCACCTCTATTATCTCAATCTAGCTAATCTAATCTATCCATCCCTTTTTATCCATCTGTATCTATCCTATCATCCATCTCTCTCTCTCTCTCTCCTATCACCCATCTACCCACCTATCTACCTATTGATAGTGCTATTTCTCTATCCTATTATCCATCTATATCTATCTATCTATCTATCTATCTATCTATCTATCTATCCTATTTATCTATCTATCTATCTATCTTATCTATCTCTCATCTATCTAATCTAATCTAATCTATCTCTCATCTATCTAATCTTATCTATCTATCTATCTATCTATCTCTCATCTATCTAATCTAATCTATCTATCGATCATCTATCTAATCTATCTATCTATCTATCTATCTATCTATCTATCTATCTATCTATCTATCGTGCTATCATCTATCCTATCATGTCCGTCTATCATCTTTACCTACCTACCTACTTACCTACTTATCTATTATCCCTTATCATCTCTCTCTCTCTCCTTCTTGCTTTTTCTATTTATCATCTTTTTCCTGTCTGCCAGTTTTTTATTATCTCCATCTATTGTCAATCTATCTGTCTGTCTCTCTTTATCTTTCTCTCTCTTTCTCTGTCTTCATCTGTCTGTCTGTCTGTCTGTCTATCTATCTATCTATCTATCTATCCATCCATCCATCCATCCATCCATCCTCTATATAACTATCTTATCTATCTATCTATCTATCTATCTATCTATCTGTCTGTCTGTCTGTCTGTCTGTCTGTCTGTCTGTCTATCTATCTATCTATCTATCTATCTATCTATCTATCTATCTATCTATCTATCTATCTCTGTCTTTAGCTATCCATCCGTCCATCCTCCCTTTATCATCTATCTATCTGGTCATAAGTGGAGGACCATTGATCTTCCCACCAGAGGGACCTGGGTCTCCCATCAAGCCAGGTTCCGATCCGAGGCAGCTCCTCCCTTCTTTTCACCCCCACCCCCACCCCAGGTGCGTTTGGGTCAACAGAAGCGGTATCAAGACTGGTTCCAGCGCCAGTATCTCTCCACCCCGGATAGCCAGTCCTTGCGCTGCGACCTCATCCGTTACATCTGCGGGGTGGTCCACCCATCCAACGAGGTGCTTAGCTCCGACATCCTCCCACGCTGGGCCATCATCGGGTGGCTGCTCACCACCTGCACGGTAAGCCAACCCACCCACCGCCCCTAACTTCCAGTGGCGGGCAGTTCCGCTGGCTAATTGTCCTCACCAACCGGAAATCCTTCCTCTTAGTTCTAGGTTGCTCCTCCTCTCCCTTGGTTAGTTGGAGACTCTTTTTAAGTGGAGGTTCCAGGGTGGGATTTGATTTAAATCGCGTTGATTTAAACCACGATTCAGAACCCCTAGTAAAAAAAAAAAGCGCGCCTTGATTTAAATCAACGCGATTTAAATCGTAATTTTGAAAGGGCATCGTCTCACCGTTGACTCACCGGTGGTCCCAATATTGCAGACTGTGCGGCCTCGTGCTACATAGCCAGGCTCCCTTTCACGCTGAATAAACTAAATTATGAATGTTCTCTTAAATAGAAAACTTATCTTCCAATCTTCTCAGATTGGAAACCAGAAGTATATTCGTTGAGCATAATAATCCCAGAAGGTTATGAAAAAGGAATCGCTTATTTATCTTTACGTATACTGACAGCAAGCAAGGATTAGCTACGTAAAATTTTGGAAAAAATGAGAATATTCCACCAGATGAGGAGGTAATTAGATTCTAGATTAGATTGAGATGGACAGATTAACTTTAAAAAGAAAAGAAAAAGAAGAAAGACTCAATACTATTTGATGTGGAATAGATTTTATGAGCGGCTTAAAACAACGGGTAGAAGTTAAGAGCAAGAAAAACGATGAACGTTCTCATTAAAAACAGGGAAGAGATATAACCAATTGCTATAAATATTAAAAATATGAGTGAGTTAAATTACAAAGAATGGGAACTATGTTGTATGGGAACTGTGGTATTACTAGAGCTGTTCATTTAGGTGTTATATTATTAGTATTATTATTAGTAAACGGACAATATTATTTACAGTATTAGCTACGTTTCCTTTTTGTGTGTGTGTGTAAATAATATATCTGGACAAAACGCTGTACTCAAAAAACGTTTATGAATAAAATCCAAAAAAGAAAAAAGAAAGCTATCTTCAGATAGATTTGTTCTCTTTAACGAAGCATTGAATTAAAATAAATTGGACGAAAATAAAAAAATAATCCCAATTTAAATAAATAAAAAACCCAATTTAAAATTTTAAAAATCCTGAATTTTTTTTTATTTAAAAAATAAAAACACCAATTTTTATCCAACCCCCCCAGGAGGTTTTATATGAGTCTGTGTTCTGGGGGAAAATGAGGGGGGCTGGCTGGCAATTCGGGGCACATTCAGACCCTACCCCAAAAGGGGGAGAGAGCAGGAATGGGCTTAACCCAGGTCAAAACCGGACCCGAAAGGAGCCAGAACTCACACAGAGGCCCAACGGGGAATCTCCCCTGCATTGGGGATCAGCTTCGAATCCTCCCTCCTTCTCTTCTCTTCCAGTCTAACGTGGCTGCTTCCAACGCCAAACTCGCCCTGTTTTACGACTGGCTGTTCTTCAACCCCGATAAGGACAGCATCATGAATATTGGTACGGCGGCAGGGAGCGGGGGGGGTCAGCTTTTCTCCCTCCCCCCCCACTGTGTGTGTGTGTGTGTGTGTGTGTGTGTGTCTGTCTTCCCTTCCCCTAAATTAGAGGTTCGTCCATGACATTAGACAAATAAATGCCTGGAATTTCGGCCTTTACATTCTGGTTTCTGGTGTCGCAACATGGTTGACAAGCTGGTCGTCCACTCAGCGACCCGTTCGTTAAATGTCTGTTCAAACTTAACGACGGCAATGAAGAAATTTAAAAAAAGGCCATTTTTTTTTACACTTAATGGCCGCCGGATCAAAATCCGGATTCTCGGCAGCTGACTTCACGTTTACGACGGTCGCCTGGGGAGGGGGGGGGTGTCCCTTCTGGCGGCCCTTCCGACGGGCTGATCCGGTTGGAGGTGAAGCCGGAGTCACTTCAACGGCCGTGTTCCTAATTTCACCGTCGCTAGGACGGACTCCGCCCACGACGCGGCCAGGAAGTGTCGTCCAAATGGGACAGGACTGCGCCCCCCCCGCCCCCCCGAATCAATGCCTCGCTTGGCCACAGAAATTGGGGACGGGCCCTCCGTGGAGGTCGTAGCTGGAGGACTCACCGCGGTGGGGTGTGGGCCGAAGGGGATTCAAACAGGCCGTGTTGCCAAGTTATGGTTTCTTTGCTCAATTCGCCACCATTTTGTTTTGTGTGTGTTTGTGTGTGTGTGTGTGTGTGTGTGTTTGTGTGTGTGTGTCTTTGAATTTGCTACAGAGCCCGCCATCTTCGTCATGTATCATTCCATGAAACCCCATCCGGCAATCACAGCTACCCTGCTGGACTTCATGTGTCGGGTAAGGCCTTACCGTTCCCCCCCCGTGTCCCCCCCTCCGAGGTGGCTCTGGGCTGGGCAGCCCGTGCCCCCTCCTCACTCACAACCCCCCTCCTTCCCCCATTTATTCTTTGCCAACCCATAAAACATTCCTAGGCCTGTTTTAGTAGTCGCCATAAAAAGGAGAGGAAAGCGGACGTACATTCCAACTCTTCTCTTTAAAAGCTTGTAACTAAACTACCGGAGCTTTCGCCCACGAATATATTTAATTGGAGAATCTAATTGATGACACCCAGCTGGTGAATGGGCTCAATTGGAGAATCTGATTGATGACACACCCAGGGGAGAAGGGGGAACCAGACTCATGGGGGGACTGTAAGTTACTTTAGGCCAGAGTTGGCTTCGTCCAGGGCAGTTCCAGTCTGTCGCCTTTAATAAATCCTTGGGAGGTTTTTTTTGAAGTTTGGCTCGAGGATCACCATTCAATTAGGGTGATTGCTGGAATCCCGACATTCTTCATTCAGATCATTCCGAACTTTTATCCCGCGTTGGAGGCCCACGTCCGTCAAGGCGTCTTCAACTCCCTCACCCACATCGTGGAGAAGCGCGTCTTGGCGTAAGACTCTTGGGGTGGGAGTGGGTGTGGGTGGGGGGGCAACATTCAGGGGGGTGGGCTTCGAACATGTCAGCAAGGGATTCTCTGCCAGGTAGCTTGGTGGGCGTGGCCTATTCGGCCTTCTGTACCACGGCCGGGGGGGGGGCAGGAAGCGATTTTTATCCTCCCCGGACTCCGGAGGCTCTCTGAGGGAAGGAAGGAAAGAAAGGAAGGAAGGAATAAAGGATCAGAGGGAAGGAAGGAAAGAAAGGAAGGAAGGAATAAAGGATCAGAGGGAAGGAAGGAAAGGAAGGA